GGTCAGCAGTCTGGTGATCCAGACACTCAGGGCGCTGGCACGTGTGAACAAGGCAAGAGACTCCAGATAATTTAGTCCCCAGCACTGTTGCCATGTCTAGCAGCGGGGTTTGTTAGGTGATGTCCCAGACATCACAGAGCACAGTCAAGTCAGCCCACTATGCCCTGTCCTAATTCACAATCCCTAGAACTGTGCACCTAATAAAATGGGTATTTTTAGCAGCTAAATTTTGTTCTAATAATAGTTAAATGAATATTAAGTTTTCTATGTACCTATAATTAATTCATCTCTAATTCTCAACATGCTCAAGCATATTAGGTGATTTATCCATTCCATATTTTTCCCCCTTGGGAAATGTTTCTTATACAGATCTCTGTCCTCTTGTCCACTGCAGCCTGGACATACAGCCATCAGTCTAGGATGTGCTAGGACGACAGCAGGATAGCGTGTTATTCAAGGATGCAGACCCTGTACATGGGCTGCCTGGATTTGAATGCTCGATTCCCCACTTGCCAGTCGTGTGACTGCAACACCTCCTTCATCTCGGTGCCCCAGGTCCTCATCAGAACAGCACCTGACTTAGATAGTAGATGCCTTTCCTCTTGCCTGATTATTCTCCCCTTCACATTGCCCTGGGATTTCCCACTGTCTCCAGCATTTGTCCAGCCCCTAGTTCCTAGAGTCCATGTCTTTTTTTTTGGTTACTCCCTTGTCAGGATGGAATATAGTACTGCTCTCTGAAACAAAGGTGCATGGAAGTTAAGTTTTTTGAGACCTTGTAGATCTGGTTTTTTTGTTTTTTGTTTTTTTTTTTGGTGCTGGGGATCAAATTCAGGACCTTGCACTTGCACTTGCAAGGCAGGTGTGGTGCAACTGAGCTAAATCCCCAGCCCTGTAGATCTGTTTTAAATAGTCTTTAATATCATATTTGATATATGGCTGGCATAAAATTATAAATTGGAAACAATTTTCCCTTTGAATTTTGAAGGCATTATTCCACTGTCTTGAATCTTTGTCACTACCATGATCACATTCTAATTCTTGGTTCTTTGTATGAAGGTTTTCTTTTCTCCACAGGGGCATTAGGAACTCATCTTTATCCACACTGTTTCATACTTTGATAATGATGTGACTTGGACTGGGTCTTTACTTATTTCCTTATTTTCTGTATTGGGGATGGAACTCAGGGCTTCCTGCATGCTAAGCATGCGCTCCACTACGACTGAACCACACCCTCAGCATGGTGTGGGTCTTAGTTTATTATTTAGGTCACCATTACAATTTGGAGACTCAAATCTTTCAGTTCTCAAAACTTTTCTTATTAAAAATTTCATTAATTCTTTCACTTCCATTTTAAATTTTCTGAGACTTTTAATTCATCTGACATTTCTGATGTCTTCTCATTTTTCTATCTTCTATTTTCTCTTGTTCAGTTTTCTCATTTTATCTTCTATGCTTCTCATTCAAAAAATTTGAGATCATATTTTCATATTTTATAATTCTGATTCCATATATATCTGTATTTACATCTACATTTACATCTGTCTTAGTTACTTTGCTCTTGTTGCTGAGACAAAATACCTGACACACAACGTCAAGGGGGAAAGGTTCATTGGTTCATTTGGCTCACAGTTTAAAGAGGTTTCAGTCCATATTGGGTAGCTCGAAGGCAGGGTTGCACATAGTAGAGAGGCAACATAGAGGAAAAACAGTTCATTGCACACAGAAGACAGTGAAAGCAACAAGGGGCCTTAACAGCATCTTCCTGCCCCTTTTATCTTATCCAGATTACTTATCAGTGGGTGACACTCACACCTTTAATCTTGGTGCCTTTAAGCCTAACACTGCATCATGAATCAATCCCAGCATCACACATCTAGATCCAGTCACCTCTGAAAAAGCCCCACCTATAACTGCATGAAGTTTTGGGGAAGACATCTAGACACAATCTAGACATAAGCCATAACTCTTTTTGTCTGTCTATAATTTTTTTTTTTTGAGACAAGGTCTTGTTATGTAATATAGGCTAGTCTTAAACTCACTGTGTAGTCCAGGCTGGCCTTGAACTCACAGAGATCCTCCTGTAACAGCCTCCTAAGTACTGGGGTTGCAGTGCCCAGCAATTCTGTTTTATATTCTTTTTTTTTTTTGAGACAGAGTCTCACTATGTAGGTAAGTCTGACCTGGAACTCACTAGGTAGCCCAGGCTGGTCTTGAACTCACAGCAATCCTCCTGCCTCAGCCTCCTGAGTGCTGGGATTACAGGCATGCGCCATCACACCTGGCTCCAGCAATTCTGATTATATTTTATAATCACTTCTTCTAATATCAGTTTAAAATCTTGCTAAAGTGCTTCTGAAAATATCTCTTTCCTTTCATCATTTTTGTTTCCTTTGAGTCTCCTTTTTCATTAGTTGGTTTTTGACTTTTTCTTTCTCAGGGAAGCCCTGTGGTCTTCTGTAACTTATTCTCTTTGTCAGTGAGGCAGCTGGAGTTTCTTGTGCATAACAGCACACTGAGCCTTGCTGACTGGCAGGTATGGCTGTTGAGGACTGACAATGGATATAGCATGTTTACTGAGAATGGCCCAAATAGCCACATCTGCAGGTCTCTCTCGTGGGTTTGACAGTTTCCTAAGAAAGGATTCCTCCAGGTTTCTACATGGTGATTAGGCAAGATTTTAAGCTGGCTGCTAGCATTTTGAGGGTCAATACAAGAAAAAGGTTGAGAGAGGGGAAACCTGTCTTTCAGAATGCTGCTATCCATGGCAATCTGCTGTATTTAATTTAATTTAATTTATTATTATTATTATTAATTCTTGGTACTAGGGATTGAACCTGGGTCCTTGTGCTTACAAGGCAGGTGGTGAAAACACTGAGCTAAACTAAATCCCTGGCCACGGCAATCTGCTGTAAATAGGGTATCTACCCTCATCTTCCCTGTCCTCCGTGGTGCCTGGTTTCCCCAGTGTAGGGCCTCAGATTAACCCAACCAATCACAACCACGCAGGTGAGTATATCTCATAAAGCTCTGTATAAGAAGGCAAGAACTTTTACACTGGAGTTTCTAAATTAAAAGAAAACCAAAAAATTCCTTCTCCTATTCTATCTTCATGCCTCCAAAAG